CAACTCAATGGCTCTCAAAATGCGAGTCATTTCAGTTACAAACCAGGAAGAAAAAGAAAAGCACAAGTACCTGTCAATTAAGCCTAGTTTCTGCTCGCTTTTCGGTCTTCAGCAAGAGCACTTGTTTTCGGTAGGCGAGGAAGTAGAAATAGGAAGCAACGAGGAACATGACGATCAACTTGCTGATAATGAAGATGACGACTTCGAGGAGGTGCCGCTGTTTGTAGATGATGATTGAATAAATGTTTGAGAATAGCACTGACATGTTTTCAGTAAAAACACCAATAAGTTATGGAAAGCAATTTCTTATATATCTAACAAGTGCCTTTAGTTTTAGAACTTTTTAACTCAATAATTTGTTAGCCCAACAATGACCAAAAGTCTCCCAGCAAAAGTGGTCAACTTTGGCGCGGCACTAGCCAAATGTTTTTCAACTGCTGCTGTCGCCAGCAGTCTGCCGGCAGCACGCGCACGCAGTGCTAGCACTGCTCAGAGTAAGCACTACGTCACTAGCCTTTGAGCGTGCTTGCCTGTCACGTGATGACCCGCCCTCGATCGGCTCGAGCATCCGATGTTCAGCCGTAGCATCAGCAGCCGCAGAAGCCGCAGCCTGCGGTGGTGACAATAACAACAATCAGTGAGGAGAAAAGAGAAAAGGAGAGGAGAGGAGACAACAATTTTGGAACCACTGCTGAAACTGGTTGCCTGGGGTTTCCGGTGGTAGTACGGCTACACTCTCCCAATCGGTCGATAGCACCGCCAGCGCCAGCGCACTTCTCATGTCAGCGGTCAAACAGTGGAGCAGCGGCACCAACAACAATCAACCGATTCACCTATTCACCGGCTCTCATCACCTGCTCACCTGCTTCTCCCAAAAGAGTGATGGCTCGAAATGCAGCCAGCCAGCTACTGGATGAGCTAATGGGCCGACAGCGAGATCTGGACCCAAATCAGAAGAACCAGGCGGCCATTCGCTGGAATGATAGCCAGGTAATCTTAGCTTTTGGCAGATGCTGTGCACTGCCCAGTTTTATAGCTTAGACTTACCTGAGTTTTGTTTTTTGCAGGTTTGCAAACACTATCTGGTAAAATTTTGCCCTAGCTCCCTATTTACAAACACCAAGGCTGACATTGGTCCCTGTAATTTAGTTCACGATGAGTTTATAAAGAGAGACTACCAGGCAAAGGGGTCAAAACGAGAGAAGCGCCTTTTTGAAGACGAGTTTATCCGCTTCTGTCAGAATCAGCTAAATGACGTTGAACGGAAGATAAATCGCGCAAAGCAGCGTTTGGAGATGAGCCAGACTGAGAAGAACAGTCACGGCGAAAGTCTCATAGTGTTGAGCGAACATAATCAAGAAAGACTGAACGTTATCAATGAAAAGATTGAAAAGATGATTGAAGAAATCGAGCAGCTTGGTTGTGAAGGTAAGTTTGTGGTCACCCAAAAAGGAACAACGTTTTTCTAACAGAAACAAAAACTTACCTTACAGGCAAAGTCGAGGAAGCTCAAGCGGTCATGAAATCGCTGGATAAGCTCAAAGAGGAGAAGATCGCAGTGAAGAGGGAAAATCAGCCTGGTCACTGGATTCAGCAGAAGGCTGAGATTGGCGTTGCTCAGGAGAAGCAAATGGAGGTGTGCGACGTCTGCGGCGCTTTTCTCATTGTCAACGATGTCCAGCAACGAGTCGAGGACCACCTGATGGGAAAGCAGCACGTTGGATATGGTCGTCTGAAGGCGGCACTTGACGAGCTTCTGGAGAAGCGGTCCCAAGAGGCCTCAGTACCACTTGAGGAGGCTGCGCGCAATCAGTCGAGATCCTCCACCACCGGTGATGGCCAGCGTAATAAGGACTCTAATCAGCGAGGCCACCACCACAGCAGCAGCAACAGCAGCAGTACCAGCCGGCCAGTATTTCGGGATCACCGAAGTCGTGATCACAAGGGCAATAGTAATTCTTCTAAAAGGCACCGTTCCCGATCTCCAACAAGCAGCAGCACCAGCAAGTCTCATCGCCGATCAGATGACCGAAATAGGGCCAATTCCTACTCTTCCTCTTCCTATTCGCGAAGTGCCTCTTCTTCTTCTGTGAACGGCTCTCGTGCAAAGTGATGAACGATCTCCCGGTTTCCTTGGCCTTTTCCACTATCATGTAAAAACAAATCCCCTTCTGTTTTCTCTTCCTATCTACGGAAAGTTGGCATCCTCCTTTTCCACCACCACCTCTTTCTCTTTGACATTTCATTCGCTAGAGCATTTTGTTGTTGTTTTGTTTTCCTTCAACTTCCTTCCACCACCACCTTCTATTTAACCCTTCCGTTGTTATCACCTCAGTGTAATTTAAATCAGGTTTATATAATTGTGACCTCTTATATTACCTCAGTGCTTTACGTAAAAATAAAGCGGCCTTACACCTTTGAACCTTGGCAAACTCATTGAGAAAAAAAATTGTTAAAGCGCGCGCCGCTGGCACGACCTCTTTGAGCGACCCCCGGGGGAAAAAAAGTTAAAACTCAGAAGACTTTTCGGCTGCAGCCGTTGGAAAGGAAAGAAGAGCTTCACCGCCACTCAAACGACAGACTGTTGTTTTGATTCCCTTCCGTCAAATTCTTCTCTCCTCTGTTCCCGTCAGATCGCCGCCGCCATGGGCCGAATTAAGCAGCACGAAAGCTACCGCCGGAAGAGTCCGGGCAAGCACCTGACACTGGCGCGAAAGCAACTGAAGATGGGAGGAAAGAGTCCGGTGAAGAAGCGCCGAAGTAAGCCTGGAACGGTGGCCCTACGCGAGATCCGCCACTACCAGCGAACCACCAATATGCTCATTCAGAAGCAGCCTTTCATGAGGTAATGGGAATGGGATTGGGATGCTTCCAATCTTGATGCTAATCAGCTATTGTTTTCTTTTCGTAGACTTGTAAAAGAGATCCTCGATGAGATGTTCCCCTCTGGGTACTCCTCGGGGTTCCGCTGGCAGACAAACGCCATTGCCGCGCTGCAAGAGGTCGCCGAGGCGTACATCATCAACCTCTTTGAGTACAGTAACATCGTGGCCAACAACTCGAAGCGAATCACCGTCATGTTGCGCGATATGCAGGTAGTCCGAAGAATCCGCCACTTTGACGACATTGTCAACCGATAAGACATCATCACCACTCAACCCTACTCTTATGAGAGTACAACTATCAAATCTAATCCCTAATCTCATCATTCTCCACTTTTTGTCAAATATATTGTCAAGTATTTCTACTTTCTACTTATTTTGCACCAGCATATTCTAATCAAATTCACATCCCAAAATTATTATCTTTGCAACCTTTACCTAGTTATAATGCACATTACATTACTAAGTGTTTATACTTTAATCTTTTTTGTATTTTCAGTCTACAGTGGCAGAAAAGGAAATAAAAATGTAAATATATGCCTAAGGAAAACAAAATGTACAAAAGTAGCAAGGTGTGCTTTATATGGTACAAGAAATGAAGAGTGAAAAAGATAGAGGATATAATGGGGATGTGTGAGTTGAGTTGGGTTGGGTTGTTCAGTGCAGTCTTCAGAAAAGGTATTGCGGCTTCTTCGCGTCGATGCCGTGCTCCAGCAGAGTGGGGCTCAGATCTTCAAAGGTAAGAGTGTACCGCTTGTCCTTGGTGCCCTTCTTCGTCTGGGCGAGCACGGTGCGCATCTTACAGTGCTGCAGGGCGTCATTGGCGATGTCGGCGATGAACTTCTGGCTGGCGATGGAGACCAGCCGCAGCACGCGCGGGTCGTTCGCCGCAAAGCCGGCGCTGTTCATGTAATGGGCCGTCACCGAGTCGGGAATGGAGGGCTTGTAGTCTTCGAGGAACTGCAGAAAGTCTATCAGCGGTTGGCCAGTGGACTGCTGTTGCTGTTGTTGTGCTGGTTGAGGCTGTTGTTGATGTTGCTGCTGCTGCTGCTGCTGATCAACAACACCGCCTCCGTTCACTGGCAGGCCATTCAACTCGCTGACATTTGGCTTCACCTGATCGCTGCCGGCAGTAATTTCCATGTTGTTGGGGTTCATCTTTCAACTGAAATTGTGTGTTCCTTGGCTACAGCTCTGACCAGATCACTCTCTCTTGAGAGAGCTTTGGCTGTTTGGGCAAAACAACAGTGAGCGAGCAAACAGAGATGGAGAGACTTTTTGAACGGGGTGGGTGGCAATAGCGGCAGTGCAGAGTTGCGTAGCAAAAGACAGACAAACACAACCCACCTCAATCAGATGACGGCCAAGCTGAGTGACTGACTGACTCATTCAGTCCGTCTGGTATTGTTGCGTATTCCTTTCACCACCGACGCCGTTTTATTTTAGCAACCACCCATCCAATGGTCATCATGAGCGGATACTTCAACAACAACGATGTGGACATGCGAAACGTCACCAATGTACTTCAGCAGATGTCCAACGCCGAGCTGGAGGCCATTCTCAATGATACCAACAATGTCCGCGCGGACAGTCTGATCATGGAGCTGCCTCAGGTGAGATTTCCCAGGTTTATGCTCCTTTATGAGAATTCAATGTTTTTCCCTTTAAAGGTCAAGGCGCTCGAGGCAGAGCGAGAGAAGCTCATTCAGAACAACAAGCGCCTGGCGGAGAGCAACCTTTCATTCGAGTCAACGTACAGCTACTCGAGGCAAAATCTGACCGAGTCACTTCAGGAGTGTCAGACGCTGAAGGATGAGCTTGATAGGAAAAAGTCACTGCTTCGCCAGTTTGGCCGACAGAACTCCCTTGATACGACGTTGGCCTTGATGCAGGCGGCAACTGCCGAGGCCGAGGAAGCCAGCGAAGAGGTGGCCAACAGATTCCTGCGCAAGGACATGCCCATCGAGGACTTCCTAAAGGTAAGCGGTTTTCATATTTCCCATTCTTCACTTTCTAACGTATTGTAATTCTTTTTAGGAGTTTATGGAAAAGCGCAAGCTCTACCATTCACGACGTATCAAGACTGAGAAGATGCCTGCTGAAATAAGCAAGGTAAACTCGACCATAATTCAGCCCGTTCGACAGGCGCCACCACCACCTATTTTGCCCTTCTCGTCACAGTTCTCCGGTATGAACGTTAGTCAGAACGCCAATCCGCCTTATCCGACGGGAAATCCATTTGCGAACTTCATCACACAGCCGCCAAACAACAACCCCTACAACTTTTAGGTTGAGGGGGTGTTCATTTTAGTCGCGAAGCAATTCATCTCCAACACTCGACACCAGTCTTTCTCTCTCCCTCTCTGGATCACACTTTATTTTATATTATCCAACTGTAAAAATTTACACTACCCAATTAAACGTTTCTGTTGACTCATACTTTTTTGGATTGAGTACTCTTTTGCAAAAAGGGATTGTGCGTTACCTTTCCCTTCAATGGAGCATGCTCTGTATGAACAGTGCCAGCTGTGTGATCAGCACATGTTTTCTCATTTGACAAAATCACAACAAAATACCTGGTGAAAAGTTGAGTGATTCTCTTCCAAGTTCCCCCTCCCCCAACACTTGAAGAGGATGAGCTTCTGCAAGCACAAGACGGTGGCTGAGGAGGGCGACACGGCGCTGGTCTACCTCACGCCGAAGCTGATGTACCCGCTGAAGCTGAAGGCGGCCGAGGTCTTCCAGACTCGCTTTGGCGCGCTGAAGCACGACGATGTGATCGGCCGGCGGTACGGCTGCAAGGTGGCCACCTCGAAGGGCGGCTTCGTCCACGTCCTCGACATGACGCCAGAGCTGTGGACGGTGACGTTGCCCCACCGGACGCAGATTCTCTACAACACCGACATCAGCTTCATCCTCCTGCAGCTGCAGCTGAAGCCCGGCTCGGTGGTGCTCGAGGCGGGCACCGGCAGTGGATCACTCTCCCACTGCATCGCCCGCACCATCGCCCCTAGCGGTCACCTCTTCACGCACGACTTTCACCAGGAGCGGGCGCTGACGGCGGCGGCGGAGTTCAAGGAGCACGGCCTGGAGGAGATCGTCACCGTGCAGCACCGAGACGTCTGCCAGGATGGCTTTGACGTGCCCAAGCCCGCCGATGGCGTCTTCCTCGACCTGCCCCACCCGTGGGAGGCGATTGAGTCGGCGAATGCGGCGCTGAAGAACGGTGGCCGCATCTGCTGCTTCTCGCCGTGCATTGAACAGGTGCAGCGATCCGCGCAGACACTAACTGATCTCAACTTTATGGACATTGAGACGTACGAGCTGGTGCTGCGACCGTACGAGGTGCGCGACATCAAACTGAAGAAGTACACGTTTGATCCGAACAGAGGTACGACAACATCAAATGCCGCCCTCAACAACAACCGCAGGAAACAGGCAAAAGCTCCCGAGAATGAAGATGGAGATCTGATGGACACTACTGATGCTGACGAAACCAATGGAGGAACAGGAGAGGAGGAAAACGACGAACAGGAGAACGTCGACTGTGACGACTCGGTTGAAGAAGGGAACTCCGGGCGAAAGAGGATCAAACTTGAAGACGGCAAAGAGGCCCAGACAGCACCAGCCGCCACCGCCGACTCGGCAGTATCTCCTGACGACTCCAAAGCAAAGTACACCACCGCCTACATGAACAACGAAGTGGCCGGCCACACTGGCTTCCTCATATTCGCCACCAAGTTTGAGAGTGACGCCCCCTCTGCATCGTAACACACCCATTTTCCTTGTCTTTTTACCACATTTTTGTCTAAAAAATTCAATAAAGATGATTCAAGCATTGCCGCCAATCATAGGTCAACACACTCGATTCATACTTGTATACACTCACCCTTCTCATTGTCATTACACCTTCACACTAACTAACCAGTATTGACAACGACAACAGCATGTAGCGCCACTCACGGATTAGTTCACTGGCGTCTTATGTTTTTGCCTCTCCACACAAATACATGCTAAACAAGCTATTTTCCGAGACCGATTAATAAACGTTGCCAAGGTCTCTTAGTTTCAAACAAGGACTTATTTTACGCAGAAAGACTTCTAGTTTAACATACTGAAATTTCAGGTTACTGAGCCATCCCAGACAGGTTCAAATCGACGATTAATTCTTGGTAAATTATTGTCGTTTTTGTGCATGTGCCATCTAGCGGCAGGTTTGAAAAGCTAACAAAATTTAAAAGAAAAAACGCTATTTTCTTGTTGACATTGATTTTCACCGAGCAATAATTGCGATTCATTATTATTTATTGCAATTTTAATCAAAGTAAGATAAAAATCAACACAAAAAACAAAACATGCAAGAACAAAACATGTGGTTTTTGATTGAATCAATCTTTTCAAATCCGCCGCTAGATGGCACACACACAAAAACGACAAAAATTTACCAAGAATCAATCGTCGATTTGAACCTGTCTGGAATGGCTCAGCAATCTGAAGTTTTAGTATGTTAAACTAGAAGTCTTCCTGAGTAAAATGAGTCTTTGTTTGAAACCAAGAGATCTTAGCAACGTTTATTAATCGGCCTCGGAAAATAGCTTGTTTAGCATGTATTTGTGTTGCGAGGCAAAAACATAAGACGCCAGTGAACTAATCCGAGCGTGGCGCCACGAGCTGCCAAGCCTTGTTGTCGTTGTCAATAGACAGCTAGCCACCTCTATATATAAGCATATCTCATATAAACACCATTATCTTTTATATTTTTATCTCAATCTCTAAACAAGCGAGTTTGTTACCAATAAATCAGCTACCCACATCAGGCGCCACACTTTTACTCCTTTCAACCATTAATTAAGCACTTTTATTGTTTTCCTTTTGCACCAATATAAGCAAACATTTTAAGGATTATTTTATGTGCTGTTTATATTCAAATATTGAAATTTAAATAAACGCTGTTTGTCATATTATTACCTTCTAAACTGCCTATTTTTTTGTGCAAAATAAATGTTTAAAATCAAAATTAACGCTGTGCACATATACTTCAGGGACTTAATATTCACACACAAACATTTATACAATCGAGTTCTTATTCTTCTACATGTCATTTATAACCTTTAATTCTTTTTATTTTTCAAAAAACATAATCTAATTATTGTGAAAATTCCCAGAATTTCTGAAAGCATTGTCATGTGTTTGGAGTAAAAAACTATTAGTATTAAAAATAAAAATGTTCGGAAGTCGAATATTGTTATAAAAATTAGTGTAACAAACTTATGATGGTTTGTTACGGCCATTTTTTATCACATTTTCGACCTATGACGTGGCTTCTCTTTCTTTTTCTAACAATTTATCTTGGTTTTCCTTTTTCCGAGTATCGGCTAATTTTTATCTCTATTTCTCCCTTTAATCATTTTTGCCATTTTGGCCATTCTAGCGCCTTCTTTTCCTTTCTCTGTCTGCAATAAAAAGGCGCAAACTGCTCAGCAGCATTAGAACGCATTGAGACCCTAAGATGTTATCATCACGCCGGTTTTTCTCCGAGCCTCTCTACAGTGCACTAGAATTTAAATATA